GGGGGGGGGGGGCAGAGCCCCCCCACTGAAGGAAAACCAAATAAAATGAAAAGGAAATGAAAATAGAAAAAATACCATAAAATAAGAAGTTATTTAGAATAATTACTAGTTTTTGGCGAATTTTATTGAAGAATTCTACAGCTTTACTGTGCATTTTTTTAAATAGAAAATGTCTAATAGAAACTATTTTATTGAAAAGATTGGTCAGATCTCATCTTTTCATACCACTTTTCCTATTGAGACACTGAAAAAAACAAATCAACAAAATATAATAAGAATTTAACCATAAAAAAAACATGAAAACAACGTGGTTGTATATTTTTTATAATTTCTTTCATTGAACAGAAGATGAGAAACATTAACATTCAGCGGTGTGCGAATCTGGTTTTAAACTAGTTTATCAACTTTTTCAATGCAAAAATTATAATAATGAAGCAAAAAAATATTTTTTGCGTTTTGAAATTCTCCATAAAAAAATGTTCTACAATATTTTCAGTTAGAATTGATAATTAATGAGATAAATTGTTGATTAATAACAGATGAGTGAATACTTCAAAATCTGCAGCCCTAAAATCGATAATTCAATTCCCTCCCCCGGACATTCGATTTTGGCCCCGATCCAACAGCTGATTCAATCAATGACCTTCGATATCCCCTAAGTTTCACCGCAAGCGTTTGCCCCTCAGCCAACACATCACTGATTAGATAAAAAATCCATGCAACAAATAATTTCTGACGCTCCCAAGAACAAAAGGAAAATTCATAACGAATCACAAAATGTCATTATTCTTCGTACTTCCCTTCCATAAAGAATATTCATCATCACAATCAGTCTTACCAATAACCATCGAATTAAATTAATTATCAAAATTAAAACATTGAATTAAACTGAATTGTGGAATTGATTTAATTATCAAATTAATGATTTACTGAAATTATCAGAATTTAATCATTAATCGTTCACACAAGTAATGAAAAAAGAGAAATAAATGAAAGGGTGAACCACCGAAATTCGTTAATAATTCGTTAAATTAATAGACTGACTCCCCTCATCATCTCCAGTATTAATTTTCCTCTTCATTACGACTTCACACAATTTCTTATCATCGACGCAAGAGAGATAAGAAGATAACTGTGCCACTATCGTTATCTCTAATACTTGATATTTACACGAGACGAACCGAAGAAAATTCGAAAATTGCTAATGAACTCGCGTCCCAATTAATTAATGAGGAAATTAGTTGAGAGTCGAGTGTCTTGGCCGTCTGTATTCCCCCAATACCCGGAATCCTCAGCAGTTGAAACAGTTGTAGTTATTTTTAAAGCTAAAACCGAGTGAGGCAGATGGAATGTGTGGGTTTCACTACTGGAAATACGGGGGAAGTCGCGTGAGAAAGCGTTTCGATCGCTTGTAAATCGATTTTCACTCGTTTAGGTATTAAAGGAGAACAAGTCAGTGATATAAGAAAGAAAAAATTGGTACAAACAATTTATTTTTTATTCTGACGTGAAGGGATTCGATGAGATCAGGTGGAGAATTATTTTTTCGTTCAAGGGAGGGTGTTACTTATTTTTATTTTGTGGATTATCTTGGGAACAAATGGCTCAAGAGGGAAATGTCGTAAAACCTTTTTTGTAGCTGATAAAATTTCCAACAAAAATTTCTAATGATGTTTTCCTCTGGAACTACTTGTTATCAAGATAATTCAACATTTGGTGAGAAGCAGTAAAATGCAATAAAACGGAAACTCAAAATGTTTTATTTTACAATTTTACAATTATCTCGAAAACCGTTAACTTCAGAAGAAAATATTCAACGATCTTTTTTGTAGCAGATAAGATTTTCTACAAAAAATGTTTTTTCACATTTCTCACTGAATCTACTCATCGCCAAAATAATTCAACATTCAATGAGAAGTGATTTTTTTTTATTGAGGATGAGAAGTAATGAAATTCACCTCAAAAACTAGTGATTCTAGAACGAGTTTTCGAAGATATCCTTTAGTTCCCAAGAATCTCCACAAAAATAAAATCTCTCATATTTCCTCCTAGACTCCCTCATCTTCGAGATAATCCAACATTTAAAAACCCGTTTTCTACCCTTAAAAATCTGTTTACTTCGGTTTTTTCCGGCTTCTTGTTGAAAATGTTATTTTATCTCAATAACGAGTGGCTGTAAAAAAAATGTCAAACGGTATTTTTCTCTAGAACCACTCGTTATAAAGATAATTCAACATTTGGTGAGAAGCAATAAAATGCAATAAAACTGAAACTCAAAATGTTTCATTTTACAATTTTACAATTATCTCGGAAACCGTTAATTTCAGAATAAAATATTGAAGGACCTTTTTTGTAGCAGACAAGATTTTCTACAAAAAATGTTTTTTCACTTTTCTCACTGAATCGACTGATCGCCAAAATAGTTAAACATTCAATGAGAAGTGATGAAATTCACCTCAAAAACTAGTGTTTCTAGAACAAGTTTTCGAAGATATCCTTTAGTTCCCAAGAATCTCCACCAAAAAAATCTTCAAGATAATCCAACAATTGAAAACCCGTTTTCTACCCTTAAAAATCTGGTTACTTCGGTTTTTCCGGCTTCTTGTTGAAATAGTAGATTACACACCTTGGCCAGTAAAGTAAGGAATGTCTCAGATCACATGTAATTGTCAGCCGAGGCGAAGCCGAGGTCAACAAACATGTGATCTGAGGCTTTCTTATTTACTGGCCAAGGTGTGTATACTATTTTTCTGCTCGACGTAGCCGGAAAGTGGCAACTTCGTTTAGCGCAGCGGCCAGGAAGTTGCCGCTTTCCGGCCGGAGGGCAGAAAATGTTATTTTATCTTGGTAACAAGTGACTGTAAAAAAATGTCAAATGGTATTTTTCTCTGGAACCACTCGTTATCAAGATAATTCAACATTTGGTGAGAAGCAATAAAATGCAATAAAACTGAAACTCAAAATGTTTCATTTTACAATTTTACAATTATTTCGGAAAGCGTTAATTTACAGAAGAAAATATTCAACGACCTTTTTTGTAGCAGACAAGATTTTCTAGAAAAAATGTCGTTTCACATTTCTGACTGACTCTACTTATCGCCAAGACAATTCAAAATTTAATTTAAGACAATAGCAAAATTTTGGTAGTGACCTTTTTTGTAGAGCCAATTGAGGGTTATGAAAAAGGTCACGACAAAAATAAATGAATTTTGAATTTCACAAATTTTTCGCGTCGCTAGAGTAGACTAAAATGTATGAAATTCAAAATTCATTTATTCATAATCTATTGCGAATAAAGTAAAACGGATGCTTAAGGATGTACTACACCCTTTCAGCCGAAATTCACGTTTTTAAAATTTTTCTGTCAAATTATTGATCGGATTGACGCGAAATAATAAACAGTTTTTGCGTTTTATCATTATTGGCTGACTCACGAAGTTTCATGATAGTGCAATCATTTTCCCGCATTTTTTCCAGTTTTGTGAGTATCCGAAAAGTTTTAGAAAAAACGCAGGAAAATGATTGCACGATCATGAAATTTCGTGAGCCATTAAGTAATGATAAAACGTAAAAACGGTAGATTTTTTCACGTCAATCCGATCAACAATTTACGAGAAAAATTGAAAAAACGTGGATTTTGGTGAAAAGGGTGTAATACCACGTATGAAAAAATGCTATGGGATTTCCTATAGGATATCCTATAGGATTTCCTGTAGGAAATCCTATGGAGAATTCGAACATTTCCTATAGGATTTTTCTGATAGGATTCCCCACAGGATTTCCTATAGGATTTCCTATAGGATTCCCTATAGAATTTCCTGCCAGATTTATGACTTTCGAGTCTCAAAAACACCGATTTTGAACATCGGTTTTGTGTGTTACTTTCCATAGAAAACCCTGTAGTGAATTCTAGAGAAAATCCTATACGAAATCCTATAGGATTTTTTCATACGTGACATCCTTAACTTTATTCTTTGGGGTGTGACGCACATTAAAAAAACTAAAATCGTATGAAAACTACGGCACAAGGGGCATTTTGAAGGTAAAAACATGAGAAAATGAATTTTTTCGTACTTATACGGGGCAAAATCGATCGGGCCACAAACTGTTCAATGGGTCTCAAGGGCTAGTGAAGGCTTTTAAATTTCACCGACGTATCCCCTTAAAAACCTCCCAAATCGGCAAACAAATCCTTTGCAAGACGTCCCGAATTACCATCTCCTTTCCTTCGATCATCGATCGAAGTCCGATCTGTTACTCATCGCCGAGATAATCGCGCTGACGTTACCTCGTATAATCTCTGTTTTATCAAGACCTCTCAACCCACATTGTTGTCCCTAAAACCCCTAAAAATTCCCCGCAAAAAATTTCATTTCCGTCCGTATTTTCTTGGTCAGAATAAGAGAAAGTAATGAGTTTATGGAGAACTTCAAATCTATATTCTTTCCATCCTCGAGCATCCGCGACCGTTCGAACAATACAATTTTCTTTGAAAAATCTCGTGAATCGCGAGTTGACTTCCCCTATTTTAATTTCCGTCTATATTTTCCTCTTTCTAATAAAAAAAAACTCATAAATGCGACATCATTGTCGCTCGCATACCACTTTAAAAACCCACTCGCTTTCAGTACAACAAGAAGTCATTACGTAATTGTCTTAGGATGAATTGAACCCGTAGGTGTCACCAGTTGACTCTGAGGTATTGCACAGAGCTCATCAATTAGGAATAATAAGAATGCTTCATTAATAATTCAATTAATCGCGAAACGAATATTTTTGTATATTTTCGCATATCTTTTTTCTAATATTTTTTCTTTTTTTCTCTTCTTTATGTACATAGCTGCATAAATCGATAGGTTTTGACGCTGAATAAAGTACAAATAAATAAATAAATAACAATTTAAATGTTCAATTGAAAATTCGAAGAAATAACTTCGAAAGAAGCCTGAAAATTTTCAAAATATTAATCCCCGATTAATAATTGCTGGATTAACTAATTAAAATGAATGAGCAATAGATGAAAATAATTGGATAATTGAGTAGAATATTAATTTACCGGAGATGATGGGAAATAATCCGAATGAATGACAATTGTTCGAGTTTTTTAATAAACTTTAGTTGTTGAGAAATAATTAATTAGGGGAATGGTGTCTAGGCGATAGTGAGCACTTGATTTAATGTCCACAGCACAAGATATCTTTTAAAATTATTTATTTGTGGAGGAACTTTTGAGGTTTTTAACGCGAATAGAAAATGATTGAGTGACTCCGAGGTATGCCGGCAGACTGAAGCAATGAATGATCCAAGAGTCACTGTTCTCCCACTTCAGCTAGTCGAGAAACTCCGAGGCCGAACGAAAGCCGAACGCCTTCGATTCACGATTTCTTGGGTGATTATTGTTATTAGGGAATGATTAATGATTTTTTGAAATTCAATCTTTTCCTGGGGAATTGAACATAAAAATTTCCCCGGATTATCTTCATGCGCAATAGTATTTTTCGAAGAAATGAATTTTTCATTATCAATTCGGGGGATATTGTTAATTTATTTAGTGAGGAATAGAAAATTTGAGTTTTAAGAAGGCATTTGAAAAATTTTATTTTTGATGTGAGTTTTGGGGTGGAGAAATCAGGGAAGAATCTCGTGTAACGAAAAATTGACGACTGCGCATGGAGGGAAAACGAATTTATGCATTGAATTTTTAATAACTAGATTAGTCCGCGCGCGTATGTCCTACTCCATGGGGCTTAATGTATGTCGGTTGTAGTGCATAGTATCATGTTAGATTTGTGGAGGTTATATCAAGTTTTCTGAAGGAAAAGTTTCAGGAATTTATTGTATTGTTTTGATATATAATACATCCATTGTAACGTTTTTTGATGCCAATCTATGCGGCGTATGGTGTCAGTAGATTTTTTATAAGTGATGACAGCATGCATTGAAGATATTACCATAATGCTATATTATATTCTATACTAATATACAATATATAATATATTTCTATTCTATAATATACAATATATAATAGTGCTAGAACTTTTTTTCGGAAATTCGTTATTATGAGCATCTAAAGATCGAACAAAATTTTTTACAGTTGATGACGTTGTTCATTTCCATGGTTAACAATAAGAGGAATAATTAATGGGATGTTGGAAGAGTTCAGCAATACTAATTTATTGTCAAATCGCGACGTTTCGCCGCTGTTTCGCGAAGAAGCTGCGATTTGCAGCGAAACGTCGCGATTTGACAATTAATTAGTATTGCTGAACTCTTCCAACATCCCATTAATTATTCCTGTTAAAATTTTTTACTAAAAATATTTTTACAGGCAGTAAAAATTGAAAAATTTTGACTCTTAATAAATCAAAATCGAATGGATGGGACTCAAGTTATTGAAAAAAACGAAAAAACAAGAAAAAATCATATCTCCAAACTGGGCTGCCGAAAAAAACTGAGAAAATTTGAGAGATAGTTTTTCAACCCCCCCAATCGTAGAAAAAATCGCCATCAATTTCCAAGAGGGTGAGGGTCAACGCTTGACTCATTTCGTGTGGAATACCTCATATGTATTAGAAAATATAATGCACATAAAAAAAATTAAATAATAAACTGATAACAATAATAACATACATTGAATATAGTATAGTATATAATATATTATAATATCTTTAATGTGTGCTGTCATCATTTACAAAAAATCAAATGACACAATATGCCGAATAGATTGGGTTCAAAAACCGTTACACTGGATTTTTTATTAAAGGATTGGTTTCTTTTAGGGGAGAGTGGGGCAAAATGAAACAGTCAAAAAAACCCCTGTTTGACGCAATTCAGGCAAAAAAAATTATTCAATTGTTTTTTGTTAACGTTTTTTTATTCTTGGGAGCCCTGATGAGAATAATAATTTTTCATTCAGTAGAATAGAAAATTATTGAGAAGTTTTCATGGGCGAAGATTTTGTTAATGGATTATTCGATAAAAATTCAGCATCACATTTTCCTTTTTTCCCCTATGGGTCTCCCCCTGGCCTTGCATTTTCTTTTCAATTAATCCATTGACAACATCTTCGCCCTTCGAAACTTCTCAATAATTTTCTATTCTACTGAATGGAAAATTATTATTCTCATCGGTACTCCCAACAATAAAAAAAAAGTTAATAAAAAAAAAATTTAATAAAAAAATGTTTTGACTATTTCATTTAGCCCCACTCTCCCCCAAAAAATTGCAGAACAGAATGTCTAGAAATACTAAAATTCACTCCACTTTATTTTTCAGAGGTGAAATTTTTTTTTTCCACACGTTCTAATTATTTCCGAGCTGCTAATTTGCGTTGCACAGATGACACAAATGCGTTAATTAAACCACTCTATTTCCTACCGCAGTTTTCCGAGAAAAAACGTCAATGTTTGTATTATATTCGAATTGAAGATGAAAGAATAATCGGAACGGGCAATCGTCAAGGTCATGACGTGCTCTGATAACGACTACTTTCATCTCTCCGCTTTGACTCGATTTAATGACACTTCAACGAGGTCTCAACAATTTCTTTTGCGGATTCTTTATTTTTATTGTCATAGTTCATACTCGCGAGGAGTCGAGATTTTTTATTCAACAGGTTTTTACGGTTAATGATTCAACGATTCCTTGAGTACATCATCAATATTTTTATTTCAGCTGGAAATGAACGGACAGCAGACAATTTAAAATCACAAAAATATTCTGAAAGCGTAATTTATTTTGCTACAGAAAAATTTGATAGAAAAATTCAGCGAAAGCTGCAGAATAGAAATCCAACAGAATTTTCTATCGAATTTTTTATCGAAATTTCCACCGAAAATTTACTCTGACCTTTTCTCCTAAAACCATTCACTATCGAAATCTTTGAAGAAATAGAAAAGACACGGTGACATGACTTATTGCGTTCTACATTTCTATTCAATACAGAGTAGAATGGAATTAATTCCCATTGAGGATGGCTGTATGGGACAACACAGGACAACTTTCATTGCCCCATTGTCAATTTATTTAGGTAATCTGCTCCCATTTGGATTGAAAAAGGATTAGACGAGTGGCTGATTAAGGATGTTTAGCCAGTGTCGGTAAATTGTCGTAAATGTGTTTTTTTTCATGGTCAAGGAAAATTCTGTAATTTTTTCGGCTGACAGCAGGACATATAAAACTAACTTTTCTAACGTTAAAAAAAATTTATCGCAATAGTCTCGGCAGAAATGAATAAACTCATTTTTCCTTATACATGAGCTTTTATGAAATTTATGTTCGAATTCAGTAGCGAAGCGGTAAACCGGGTCAAGTCGATTTTTACTATTGGCAAGTTCNTTTTTTTTCATGGTCAAGGAAAATTCTGTAATTTTTTCGGCTGACAGCAGGACATATAAAACTAACTTTTCTAACGTTAAAAAAAATTTATCGCAATAGTCTCGGCAGAAATGAATAAACTCATTTTTCCTTATACATGAGCTTTTATGAAATTTATGTTCGAATTCAGTAGCGAAGCGGTAAACCGGGTCAAGTCGATTTTTACTATTGGCAAGTTCTTGACGAATATCTCGGAATCTAAAAGAGATAGAAAGATTTTTGTCACGACCTTTTTTGTAGAGCCAGTAGTGTGTTATAAAAAAAGTCATGAGAAAAATTTTGCTATCCCTCTTAGATTCCGAGATATTCAGCAAAAACTAGCTAATAGTCAAAATCGACTTGACTCGGTTTACCACTTCACTACTGAATTGATAATTCACCTAACAGAAGACTCTAAAAATAGAAATAAAAATAGAAGGTAATGTGTAAAATCATACTGAATCCAATGGCTAGAGAAAAATCTGGGGTATCCGGGCAAAAAGAGGAAATATTTGAATGATTCTATCTCATATAAGCGCATGTTAGCGCATGCATTTGGTGAATTTTGTCTATTTCATTTCTAAATAATGAACATGGGCTAGTGGATTGAAATTCACGCACGAAAAAATTTAATAGAAAAACCTATCGAATTGGTTAAAAAATCCTATTGAATTTCTATTAAACGTGCTATTAGTTTTTGGCTGATTCTATTGACATATTCAATAGAAAACATGCAATAGAAAAAGTCAATAGAATTCTATTTTTCTATATAACTTATTCTTTTCACATATTTTCTGTAGAATTTGCTCGACTCACATTTTCTAAGTTTTTTTTATTCTATTTTTCTGTTCTTCTCATCAAGAAAATCAAACGAAAAAACTTAGAAAATTTGAGCCGAGGAAATTTTATAGAAAATGTCTCAATGGAATAAATTACTTAGAAAAATTGAATTCTATTGACTTTTTCTACTGAATATTTTCTATTGAACATTTCAACAGAATCGGCCAAAAACTAATAGAACAGTTCAGTAGAAATTCACTAGAATTTTCCAATGAATTCAATAGGTTTTTCTATTAAATTTTTTCATCCATGTTTGTATCAAAGTGAAGGGAATATCTTCATCTCTCAGTTAAAAAAAAACAATTTTTTAAGTACTTCCGATTTTGGATAAACATCCTTAAAATATCAATGAAGCGAAATAAAACAGAACAGAACGGTCAATTCTTCTCTTTCGAACTCCGTGATTATCTCGGTAACGAGGGGTTTTAAAGAGAAATATCATAAAATATTTTTTGTTGGAATTTTTGTCAATTACAAAAAAGATTCTGAGGTATTTTTTCCTAAAACCACGGATTATCGCTGTAATGTGGGGCAATTAATTTGAAAAAAAATATCAATTTGCGACTGAATTTCAGGTGATTCCCCCCCTGATTCCTTTGGTTTAAAAAAAAAGTATCGTCCAACGGAACTGCCCCATAAGCTGTATAAAACAGTTGCGCAACAATACGAGTGAAATTGAAACTAGTTTGTTGGAGGTAACGGGTTTAAAGTGACGAGAATTATGATGATCATGTGGTATGCAAATTTAAATGCAGGAAGATACGCTTTGCTAGACCTTCACGTGGTCCTTGGGATGGAACTTGAACGGATTTCTCTCTCCAATATTTCGGAAATGTTAACTACAGTAGAGATTATTCAACTTTTTTCTTCAACAAAGATAAAGAGGCATTTCCAAATCGCATAGGCCTTTATTTATTGTCGTGATAAGTTCAGTCCTTCAATTTTAATGTAAATAAAATGATAAAAAAATTGGCTTTTGATTTTTTTTCATTACATTTTGAATAAATGATTCCAAAAATGAGAGAAAATGCTACTTCAATGACTCATGATGCAATTAAACATAATTTTTTGTACTAACTAGAACAGGGCGCGCGCTTCGCGCGCGTATTGTTTTCCATGGGCGCCAGAATGGTAAAACCTTACCGTTTCTCACTTTCATTAATTTTTATCTCAATAATAATAATGCAAGAAAAATGAATGGTTTCAACAAAGTTTTTCAGAATGAGAATTTAATTGTTGAAAATTTAATTGTTTAATTGATTCGGAATCGTTATGATCCTCGTGATCATAGAATAATAATTTAGAATAATGAATTATTGAGATACTTTAACGGGAGAAGATTTTGTCGATGGATTAATTGAAAAGAAAATGAAAACGTTAAATGTGATACATGAATTTCAATCGAATGAAAAAAAAGTGTAATCTGCCTAATCTAATCTAATCATAATCTAATCAATTGAATAGTAATCAATTGAATTATAAGACGAATAAAACATTATTCTCATCAGGATTCCGAATAATAAGAAAAGTTAGTAAACAAAAGTTAAAAAAAAATTTTTTTTTGCTTGAATGGTGTCAAATAGTCATTTCATTTTGCCCACCCTCCCCTATAAATTATCTATATTATCTATTATATAATATATACTATATATACTATACATGTATGCATTTTTTGTAGTACAGAACTGTATTTAATTTTTTTAATTGCTAAAAAAATTACAGTACATAAAAAACAAGTGGATAATCGCATTTTCTGTATATGGGTATAGTTTATGTTGCTAACAAATTATCAATATGCTTCCGAATGGATTCCCTATTTTTGAAATTTATTACTCTTATTACATTACTTGATAAGCGGAATAAAGGCTTCAAAAATCGTTACACTGGATTTTTCTAAAGTGGATTTTGAGCAAAAAATTAGTAAAAAAAATAATAATTGAATAAATTGAATAAATAAAGTCCAGATATAAATTTAGATACAGATATGAATTTATTAAATCATTACACATCATAAACTACGTAGTAGATATTCAATAAATGCATTGATTATGGCATTACGTACTTGCAATCTAATGATACTGAATCATTACCTCGATAATTTCTACGGTTGAATATTCTATTGATACATTATCACATGAAAATTCTGTTATAAATGTATTAAACATTACTGTAATGTTGATACTGTATTTAGGGCGCAATTGGCAGAATTAATACATCAATTGCTTCATAAAAAAATTGTCCTCTGCAAAGTATAAAAATAATTCCAAACGTTTTAAAGTCTCAAGTGTTGAAATGTAAAAGTTGAAGTCTTTAAAATTGTGGAATTACCTCAGAAATTCTCTAGAAAAAGTGTCCCGTGCCATTTTTCATTCCACAATTTTGCATGAAATGTTTATGATCTCCTAAACAGAACATTTTTAGGGAAAATGATCAGAGATTTTTTTTTGTAAAGAACTCGATTCATCACAAAGAAATCTCAGCAATTCCAGTAGCTTAATTTCATAATCTAACAATTTCCCTTCAATCTCATCATTTACAATTCAGTAATCATATGAGAAGTGAGGGCCTGCACTCTCTTGGCATTGCAGCTCTTGCACAGGACATGGTCATCAAGAGGATAACATCCAGAGCCCTCAGCATCCGATGAGAGTACAAGACCGCAGTCTTCGCACTTGTAACACTGAGGGTGAAAGCTCCTGTCGAGTGCCACCACCCTGACAGTCTCCTCCTGTCCAGGCTCAGGCATGATGGGGAGCTTGCAGACGCAGCACCTGGGGGCGAACTTCTTGTGGAAGCACTGGATGCAGTGGATCTGATTGGTGGCATCAACAGTGAAGGGAATCCCATCGAGACTCTGCCCACAGACAACGCAGGTGAAGCAGGATAAGTGGTAAGACTTTCCAGTTGCCCTAAGAATTCTGTCGAGAATCGGTCTTGTGCAGACACAGCACTTCTCCAAGGTGTTCAGGTAGTCCTCTTCGCAGTAGGGCTTGTCTTCGAGGGAGTAGAATGGCTTTCCCTGGAGATTCACCTGGAAGAGTAAGAATTATTAATTGTGAGGGATTGGAAATGAATAATGCATTTTCATCGGAATTTGAATATTCAATTGATGAGTAACTGAATAATTAAAACATTGTTGAGTAATATTGATAATTGACTTATTCAACATTTAAGATCCGGGTGGATTATCTTTCGGACGTTATCTCGACTGTTTTTCCATCTTCGTAATGTAAAATATATCACAATTTCCACTGGATTTTACATCACGCAGGAGTCTCTAAAAATTATGATTGTGCAATCAAAAAAAGTAAAAAAAAACTGAACATTTTCAAAGAGCGTTTTTGATAAAGATTAAGATATAAGTCCGATAGAGAGGATAAGTCCGATAGTGAATGGATAATTTATCATGGTAACTAACGATCTGACAGCCATTGATTACAGCGACAAATGACGACCCAACAGCCATTAGATACATCAAATTATTAATTTGCAATTTCCGCCCTATTGGGTTTATTTTCCAATATTATTCAAAAACGCTCTTTGAAAATGTTCAGCTATTTTTGAACATTTTTTTGATTGTACAATCATAGTTTTTGGAAAGTCCGGGGCTATGTAAAAAAGAATAGCAATTGTAGATCATTTCAGATTTTCCAAATAAAAAAAATTACTAAGATTACGTTCGAAGGATAATCCACCAGTGCCTTAACTTCATTTGAAATTTATGATTATGTCGATGTCTATCAGATTTTGTAATTATGTGCTTCGACGGACGAAGCACATAATTGCAAAATAAAAAATTCATAATTCGTACTTTTCCAAGATAATTACAAAATGAGATGAAATATCAAAATGACCCATCAAATCCTCGAATTTCCCATCTAAATGAAAATTTAATTATGGTGCTAATGAATAATTTTATCCAAAAATATCAAAGGACATTTTTTAAAGAGAACTTCGCAACTCCAAAACATTTCATCATTTCTCAATTATCGATTGATAAAATAATTCCGAATTTTAATATTCAACTGATGATAATTCAATAATTTAAATAATTGTTGAGTACCATTAACAATTGACTTATTCAAAAATTACCTCTATTAAAAATTTATGATTATGCCGATGTCTTTCCCTGAACATTGGTTTAAAAATAAGATTATTTTTGTTATTCATCTGACAGACGAAGCACATAATTGCAAAATCAAAAATTCATAATTCGTACTTTTCCAAGATAATTACAAAATGAGATGAAATATCGAAATGACCCATCAAATCCTCGAATTTCCCATCTAAATGAAAATTTAATGATCGCGCTAATGAATAATTTTATCCAAAAATATCAAAGGACAATTTTTTAAAGAGAACTTCGCAACTCCAAAACATTTCATCATTTCTCAATTATCGATTGATAAAATAATTCCGAATTTTAATATTCAATTGATGATAATTCAATAATTTAAATAATTGTTGAGTACCATTAACAATTAACTTATTAAAAAATTACCTCTATTAAAAATTTATGATTATGCCGATGTCTTTCCCTGAACATGGGTTAAAAAATAAATTTATTCACCAACAGATGGTGCAAAAATACCGAAATTATTCCCAAATTCGTTATTCACCTGACAGACGAAGCACGAGAAGCAGTTGATGTGGAAGACCTGATCCATAACTGAGCATCCGTTGCCCTCGCCCTCGACCTTCTCCCCACACTGTGCGCATATCCCATAGATGTCATCCTGATTGTCCTCCATTCCCTGGACGAGCAGGTCTGTCAGCGTATCCACCTCTTTCACCGGTGATACCTTGTTGGGGGGTTGAGTTGACGTCGCTGAACCGTATCCCGAGTACGTGGAGTAGTTGCAGGAAAGCTGGGAGGGCGGTCTGGGGTTGATGGGCTCGTAGATGGACTCGTACGTCGAGGACGACTGGGAGCTGGGACCGTAGAGGTCTGGGTAGTTGGATGGATATTCTGGTTGGTAGGTTGCTCTGCGTAGTTCAGAGTAGCTTGACGACACTGGGGAGGGCGGGGGTGGGAGCTCGTCTGGAGGCGGTGGGAAGGTGCTCGGGACGCAGGAGATGTACTCAGTTGGTCCTGGTGGAGGTGGTGGAAGATCATCTGGAATATTTACTAAATTTAACAATCCATTTGTCAACTTTATCTATATTTATAGGGGAGAGTGGGGCAAAATGAAACAGTAGGGCAATATGAAACACGGGGCAAAATGAAACAGCCGAAAAACGACTATTGGACGCAATTCGAGCAAAAAAAAAGTTTTTTTCATCAACTTTCGTTTATTAACTTTTTTTTATTATTGGGAGTACTGATGAGAATAATCATTTTCTATTCGTCTTATAATTCAATCGATTAGATTAGGCCGATTATACTTTTATTTTTTCATTCGATCGAAATTCAGCATCACCTTTTCCTTTGTCCCCCTCTGGGTCTTCCCTTGGGCCTTGCTTTGGACTTTGGATTTTGTGGTTTCATTTTCTTTTCAATTAATCCATTGACAAAGTCTTCTCCCGTCAAAACTTCTCAATAATTTTCCATTCTAATAAATGAAAAATTGGAAAAAAAAATTGATAAAAAAAATCTTTTTGCTTGAATTGCGTCAAACAGTCGTTTTTAGTGTGAATGTAAACAAGTGTAACTGTAAAACAAAGAATGCTTTTGTAACATCAAAGAGAATAACATGAAATTCATTATACTTACATGTATTTACGAATAATTATGCAGAGATAGGGAAATTTTTGTAATAACCTTCATTGTAGATCTTAGTCTGCTCTCCAAAAAAGGTTACAACAAAAATTTTGCTATCTACCTTAGATCCAGCAATATTCATTGAAAACTGACTGACTTATTCTGACAACAACATGATTTATAGGTAATTACCGTGATTAGGAATGTTGGAATAAGTATTCTCAGGCTTGTTATTCCACTGGATATTACTGTAAATAATATCCTTCTCCTTATTGACGATAGGAGTGGGCACAGGAATTGGAATTGGGACTGCAGGCTCGATGTTACTGTAAACAGCGTTTCTAGTGGCATGTCTCGATCTGTCGTCCACTGGCACCTGAGGGCCAGCAATGTTTCCTATGTTGGAGTAGAAATTCTTCTCGTTGGTGTACAACTTCTCCTGGGGTTCGTTGGTGTAGAAATGCTCGTTGTTCTGGTAAAAATTGTTATCGTTTTTGTAGAATTTTTCGGCGGATCCGTGAGATCTTGAGAACACATTTTTCTCTGATGGCGCTGAGAAGGGAACTGGCGAGTTTGCGTAGAGATTTGTCGTTTTCTCGACGTTCCCTGAGTTGTTCAAGACTGTACTGTAGGACGGAGTCGTCGATGCTTTTATTGGGTAGCTCTGGGGAACCTAGAAGATTTTTTTTATGAATTTCTGGAGTTTTTGTAGTCATATTGACGTGGATACGTCTAGAGATGCAAATGCGTCACACGACCCGGCATATGACGGTCATGCGACCGTCATTGACGGTGACATGACGAGGCGTTCATGATGGCTGTCACAATTTCCCCTCCCCATTCTGTGACCGTCACAATTTGTCAAGAAAAAATGACAGTCATTTTTCATCTATATAGATGAAACTTTATTTTTTTCTCGGTCAATTTTCAGTTGAATTCCTTTTGCATTGGTCTAATCCGCATTTTGATATGGAAATCACGTTTTTTTTCCATCCATATAGATGAAACTATTTTGTTTGGATCTCTAGATACGTCTATGGTTTCAATATGGGGGGTCATATAGGGAAACGGTCCTTATGTGCAGTGCAATCTATCGGAATTGTAGAAAATTCTAGACATTTCGAAGATCTGATCAATTAGCCCCTCATGTATAGATATTCCAAATTTTTATTTTTTCCTCATTGAAGTAGTTTTGAAAAAAATTGCGAGCTAATAAAAAAAAATTGCTAGTTAGTACTTTTTTTTAAATAAATTTTTGAAAAATCACCCCTGAAAAAAAAGGTGTTATCCCCCTTATTTCATTATTTCCAAAAAATTTTATCACCAATCGGTAGCAAATTGTTTGAAGATTTTTTTGCGAAAACGAAAGATAGTTTTGAACCAGGGGAGACTCGGAGACCCCACTGGACAATGTTGTCACAATTGTGCTTTTCAATTGAAAACAGACATCATCTTTAGAGACATTTGGCATCTTTAAACACTTCTGCACGCCATTTTTCGAGCCGTTCTTTCATTTGAGCCAATTCCAATTCCTTATTCTCCAAGATAATTACAAAATCAGACGAAATGTCAAAGCGAACCATCAAACCCTCGAATATCCCATGTATATGAAAATTTAAACATCTCGAATAGTTCTAGCCAAAACTATCAAGACATTTGTTGCAGAGAATGTCTCAGCTCAAAAAAATCTTTTGATATTTCCCCCAGGAATGACTCCTCTTCAAAATAATCACCAAATCGACAAGAACTTCAAATTAATTCTGAAATTGCGAAAAAAATCAAATTCGACTTTTTTTTTTCGTCAATTGACACACAAGAACTCTCTGAAAAAAATGAAGGCTTCACTAAAGCCAGAAATGTTGGTAACAATTACCAGAATGTATTTCCCACATTCGCATGTAACAAAAATGTGATTAATTCAGTGTTGAAAAAGTTTCTGATGAACCGGAGTGAATAAAATTACCTGGGGCTGTGATTTTTTGGGTTTGGGGGGGACAACAGGACCCACTTTCTTCCCACTCTTCCCCGGATTTTGGAAACTCGATGGGCTACCATGTTCAATCTGCAGATTGGCTATTTGTTGCTCCAAATTGCTGACATTTGACATCTTCCCCTGGAAAAAAAGTCCTCATTAATCCCCCAGAAACCCTTCAGGTTGTGATGAAGTGAAAAAAGTGGAGGGAAAATACTCACGATTTATTATCGCTATTCCCACCCAATTGAATATTATTTTCGCAACTCTGGGTGTAATGACAGTCAGCGAGTTACTGCGCAAGCCAGGCTTGAGTCATCACGTTATCATCACTCGGGGAATTCCTTTCTGATGACTATCCACCTTCCTCTCCCCACTCCCACCAATTTTCGCTGATGGTCGTCCTATTGGAGTGATTTATTTGTCGAAAAAATTAACGATGAGCCACGGTTGAGGGAAAAACGCAGGTGAACCGAGCTCTGATCACTTTTTCATTGTATTTTTCTTTTTATTCAGAGGTTACTCTCTCACCGTCTCACCTATGCAATCCCATTGGGCGATTGTCGCGACGTCTGCTTAAGCGGGAGATATTTAAATACTGATACTCCATAAATTTTTTGCATTTTTTTATTCGATAATTTATCCCAAATTATGTATAAATTCAAAGAAAAACATTCTTAAAGTGTTTCGGCTGAAAAGTTAAAATAATAAAAAACAATTGGAAAATTCACGGGAGAAAATTCTGAGTATGCTGTTTCATTGAGAATTTTTGCACATTTTTTTCAATCTCAGTTTCAAGAAAAAAAACAATGAAATTTGAACGTTTTTGTAACCCCTTCAGCCATAATCTCCGAGGTTACCCCACTCTCCATTAGGGAAATTTCTATGACACCCAAAAAAAGATGGCGGCGTCTCCAGCTCGCATTTTTAAACATCTCTCCAAAATATTTATCCTCTTCGGATCACTCCAACTCACTTCACCTTATTTCCCTAAAATGAATAAATTGTTTAAGCCATCATTCAAATTTTTCCACTTCCTCTTGGCTGAGAATTTACGATGCAAAGTTTTGCCCGCATTTCAGTAGTTTTTTCCTCTCCCAAGGGCTCTCAAGGGTCAAAAGTTCTCAGGATTACGCAGGAAAAATGGATGGAGAATAAATCGACACATTAATTTTTTTTTATCATTTGTAGATTTTTTTTCTCAATGAGATTTCGTGTTTTATCTTTTATTATGATTATTATGTACGATTTTCTCAGTTGCGATAGAGATTTTACATTATACTTTGTATGTATATATATATATATTTGTTTTTTCATTTTCGTTATTTTTGTTTCTAATATACTTAGATCTCGTGATGGATGAGATTGATTTACCTATAATATATTCTTTTATTATTTATTATTACTCATTTTTTACTCGAGCTAAGTAGATCTGCAGATTTTTATCCATTCTTTCCTCGACATTTACTCCGTGCACAGATTCTTGTCACTCTTGGTATTTTGATTTATTCATAAAGTATTGTATTTGTTTAGTTTATATTCTCTTTAAATATATGCATTTTATTTCTCTTATGTGTAATATACTTTGTTTTTTTTTCATTTTTTAGTTGAGTAATTATTCTTTTTAGGTAATTAAAATGTCATATCTAACGATTCTTCTCACTTTTTTCAGTTTCATCTGAGCTTTCGAATGATTGAGATAATTTTTGATGACAATTATCTTTGTTTCTAGATGTTTGTGCTAGCACCAGAGATTTATCAGTTGAACAAAAACGTATTTGGATCGCACTTTGGAATTATCTCAGAAACTACGGGGTCCAGAGAAAAATGTCATGAGACATTTCTTGTGGAAAATTCACGTCTCTACAAAAAAGTCCTGTGACATTTTCTTCTGAATCCAACAGTTCACAAGATGTTTGAAAAATTCTCTCTGAAGATTTTTTGTCACCTCTTCTAATTCTATTATTTTATTAGTCAATTTGTTCTCAACAATTTTCTCAATTTGTTCGTGACACTTACAACTTCTCAATCATTCGAATCTCCATATTTCTATCAACTTGTCCCTCACATCTCTGTATACTCTCCTCTATTATATTATTCAACTAGCATTTGTATTAATTTGTTTAATATTCTTCCTCTTAATATACATTTCTTTTATCTCGAAAAGCATATACTTTATATTCAGTTTATATATTATATCTCTATGGGCACGAAGTTACTCTCGCTGCACCCAAATTCGTTCACGCCCAAAACCTCAACATTTGTAGATCTTTTAACTATTTTCTCTGACAAATTCGCGGGTCACAGCCGGCCTGACATTCACGTAACAATTTTTTCATCATTCTCTAGACTTTCACGCTTGAGTAAATTAATTACTCGACATGTTTACGGATTTTTAAGAATTTGATTTGTGAGACAAACTCGGTAGTGAAGCATCAAAACGAAAAAAATTGATTTCAGTCGCAATGGCTTTTAGTTTTAGTTGAATATCTCGAAATCTGTTTGAGATAGTGAAATTTTCATAGGAACTTTTTTGTAGCTCTTGAAATTCTCTACAAAAAATGTCAAATGATAATTTAGCCATCTCCATCAGATTTGGAGATATTCACAAAAAACTGGTCAACATTGATATCAACTTCTCTTTCAACACTTCACGACTGAATTCATTATTCTGTGATTGAGAAAGCTGTTATCGTTTCTTTATACCAAAAAATGTCTCTCAAGAGGTGAAAGTGATCCCTGATGGAATATTCCATCAAAAATCATTCGTAACTCTACTTGGACTGAAAATAATTCACTAGCGAAGTGGCGAAAACGAGAAAACAAAATCCCAGTTTTCTTCAAATATCTCAAAATCTACAAGAGCTCTCAAAATGATCGTTCAGACCTGTTTTGTAGCTCTCAAAATTCTCTACAAAAAGGTCAGAAAGATGAATTGGCCATCTCCGAAAATTTCAACGATATCCACCAAAAAATCCTTAACATCCCAAATTTAAATTTCTCCCCACCGAAAACACTCATTAGTTTTTGTTAAATATCTCACTATCCACTCGAGATAGCAAAAACATCATCCAGAGCTTTTGTGTAGAGAATTTCAAGACCCACAAAAAAGTTTCTGACAAAAATTTCGCTGTCTCCATTAGTTCCCACGATATTTCCCAAAAACTTACGGCAAATCCCTCAAAATTCCCCACTTCGCCACTAAATCCTTAACAACAATTCAAAATCTAATCACAGAATGCATAATCATCCTCTCCTCACTCATCCACATTTAACAACATATTTATTCTCCCCCTTCACATAATATCTGTGTATCATACATAGAAATAGGTGCCGAAATGAGCTGCTTGCATATATAATCCACATATCCTTAATGTAACACCTAAAATACTCCGATGTCTTGTCTCGAAAGAAAAAAAAAAATCATCGTCTTGAAAAAAAAAATACCATTGAACAAAAACCGAATTGTTCGAACACTTCAACAGAACGAAAAAAAAAAAATACATTTCACTTTTTGATGAGACGAAACAATCAAACTACAAACGAAAAACGAGTAGAAGGCACTCTTATAATATTTTTGTTAAACTTTCTGTTCATAACAATTAACATTTTTTTTATCGTTTTCCATTTTCAGACGTATCTAGGCCTTTTTAAATAATTCCTCGTACATTCAACATTTTAGATAAACGAATGGACAATACAGTACGAATTAACGAATATTTGACACAAAAGAAATAATTTTTATCGATTAATAATGAATTTTTCCTCTCCCACACGTCATTAATTATTTAATAATAATTTAATTATTGTTATTTGCTTGGAAGCTCACAGCCGACACTTTTTTTTTATATTTTTAAATATTTTCCTTCATTTTTTAATAGTTTTTCAGGGCCACCAGCCAAGTTGCTCGAATACTCGTATTTTTTTTAATCACTTTGTGGTTTAATTAATTAATTAAACAATAGTTAATGAGAAATTATTGATACATGGGTAAATGAAGGCTTAAGTACGCTCTGGGGAATCGTTTATCAGTGATTAAATAAATAATTCAATAATGAAAACGAAATATCGATGATTCTCTATCTCGTAGACAAGATGGCAGTGCCTTGAGCAACCTTTTTTTTTATGAGTAGATATTTCCTTTGTCCCACTAGTACCCCAAAAACACTTTAGTTACGTTTTTTTTTTTTACGTCTTTGAACACATGACAGATCGCTCGTATTTTTTTTCTTTTGTACGATTCAATATTTTTAAGTATTTTTGTTTCGTTATTTTTCGTTTTTGATTGGAATTCAGTTGTTCGGAATTTAATTGCTCATTGCAATTTGTTTTTAGTAGAATTTTTACTTCAGCGAATGAAATCGAATTTTTTTTTTAAGTACGAAGTCCACTGAGTTGTTTGTTTTCTAATAATTCTTCGGGAATTGGGAATTCCGAAGAACTTCATGCTATTCCGCGAATTCCAATCGATCAAATTTTTTATTGGATTCCATTGTCAGGGGAGGGATGAAATGTGAGAGATTGGGTTTTAGGGTGGGTTTTCTTTCGACATTTTTGGTGGGAATTTCACTATTGAGAAAGAGTAATTCATGATCTTTTAAATTGAAAGTAATTATTGATGGGATAATTACAGAGCTAATGAAGAATTCAGAGTGCAACTCGTCAATTTTTCAATTTTATCGTCTTTACTACGTCTTCAATATGAAAATGTCTTGATAATTTAGAGAAAAATATCAGGCGACATTTTTTAGGTAATTACAGAATTTATGGAAATGTCAACAATCAACTGGTGAATTTCCTCAATTCCTCATTTCATAAACCTTTAATTATCTCATGAACGAGGTTTTTTATCCAAAAATGTCCTCAGAAATTTTATCTTCTCCAAAAATTTTCTTCGAAGAAATGACCCATCTAAACCTTGAATTTTGCATCCAGGTGAAAATGTAATGATGTAATTATCCCGTTAATGAATAGTTGTAGCCAAAAATGCCAAAAAACATTTTTCATCGAGGATTTTCTCAGCTATAAAGAATTTCTTTTGACATTTCCCCCTAGAACCACTCCTCGCCCAGATAATTTCAAAATTCCCAAGAACTTCTAAATTCAACTCATCAAATTCCCATCAATAATTAGTCTCCTTCAAAAATGTCAAGCCCCCCAGGAAAATTCCCCAAAAAAACTCAAAAAAATTCTCCAATCCATCAAAACCCAAGAATCAAATCTCCCCTCCCCCTAAAAACCCAATTGAATAATCCCTTCTCATTAATATCCTACCTCGGCGACTTCCTAACTACTCTAGCATTGCTCACAAATATATCTTCAGTATTTAAGAGCCTAGCATTTGTTACCCCTCACAATGCGAGAAATAACCTACCGATTTTCCCTACTCTACAAACGATCTCAAGTCCCATTACCTAAATAACTAAATAATCCTTACCCACTAAATCCTTTATCCTCTTAGTGATATAAATAATGCGTGCTCTTCCTTCCTCAACATTACGTATATATATATATATATATATATATATATATATATATATATATATATATATAATCTCGTAATATATTAGTTTTAAATATTAAACAAAAAGCCTATAATAACTTCCTTAAATAATCATTAGAGTTTTTTAAATCTTTAACATGCCATATCCTTACCACATATATATATAATAACGTTTTTTATATAACGATTTTTTTATATAATCAGGAAGTATTAAAGAGCCTTTTCTTCATCATTCAACATTTCATATCGAGGATTATTACGACATTTTTAGGCCATCAAAAATGGAAAACAAACGTAGGCCCAGAAAATGTATTTTTCACTCTCAAATATCGTCAATTGTCTCTCGTTTTTAATAATAAAAAAACAATCAAAGTGATTTTATCAGAGTTTTGATTATTTTTTTATACTTTTGAGAGTGAAAAATGGAATATTCTCCTCAAAATATTGACAACAATAAATGGGAAATATTGATTTCCACGAGAAAATGATTATTCAAAGGGAGCAAAGATGATTCTGTGGTTATTTCTAGAGAGTAAGACCCTCCATCTGATGGCATGCCCCTGAAATCTGATTATCCTGGGGATTTCTAGGGGATGTCATCTGTATCCTGGCGCCCTGAGCATCACCTGCCGCTCCTATACCATCCTTCAATGTCTTGGAGTTGATACCGTTGACCTTGAGCTTTGTATTTCTGAAGTAGCCCTGATTGAGGCCAAATCTCCCCTGCATTTTCTTGTCCTCAATGGGATTCTGCGGTGGTAATGGTCTACGTTGGTGTTGGGGTGGCGCCTGGGGAAGGGTCTGAGTGCTGGGGGATTGTCCTGGGGCTTGGTAACGTCCCTGAGCATTGTAGAACTGCGTCTGGAGAGGGGAATCGTTAGTTTTTTCATGGGTTTTTGGAGATTGTCAAGGGAAGGCGATTTTTCTTGGGGGGAAAATTGAGGCTATGGTGAGGGTCAAAAGGGTCTAAAAAGACGATTAAACTGTACTTCTTCATTTCTTTATAAAGAAATTCAGTGGCATTGAACTGACACAGCTGACGCCAAAAAATTGACTCATAAAATTCTCTTTCCCATGCCCTGAAGAATACCATGACCCAAACAATTTGACAATTGCATTCTACTCGACCCTCCAGACCCTCACGACAACCCCCCCTAAAACCCCTACCCAATCCTCCGCCCATAAAACAATATACTTCTCCTAGTCGTCACTTTTTTTTTTCACATAAAAAAGTCGACTACCTGAAGATTCGTTGGTGAAAAATTCGGTAATGGTCTCGTCATAGGTGAGTACGGTGCTGGTGGTGGACTAGTATTTTTATCAGACCCATTACCCTCGTCTCCAGGCCCATTCATCCCACTCTTGTATCCAATTCCTCCATTTCTCATGTTCCTACGTCCACTGTTCACCTCAACACTGCTTTTACCACTGAACGATCTCGATGTATTTGACGCAGCACTTGATCTGTCAAAGCCCCTGGTGACGACGTAGGAAGATGTTGGTGATTTACGAGGTGTTTGTGGATTTTTTTGTGCCTGGGACTTGGGATAATGGGCCTGGTGGATATTTGAGAACAGGGAGTAGCCATTTTGGCCTCTTGGAGGTGTGTAGAGACTCTTATGAGAGGTATTCTGGGTATTTGTGGGGGTGGGCAGGAGGCTGGGGGTGTTGTAGGGGGTCTGAATGTAAAATGGATGGTACAGGAATGTTCTACAATGCATGGGACCTGTGGATGCCTCTTCAGGCTCTGTTTGGTATGTCTGTGGGGGGGTGGGAGTCAGGGGGAGGGAAAGGGGGTGAGGATAGTTTGAGTATCTGGGGGTCAGGGGATATTTCAGGGGCATCAGGGACATCAGGGGGGTTGTGGGGGGGTTTGAGGGGGTTGGGGACTGGTCGAGGGTTGGTTGGGACTGGTGGGGGTGGGATACGTCGGTTTGCGAGTGGCTTGACGTCGATCGTGTCTCCTGAGAGAGTAAAATCACGAAATTTATGAAAATTTTCAGAAAAAAAAATTCCTCACTTTTGGTATGAGAGTGATAACTTGGCAATGAGTGGAGTTACGATAAAACGAGTTGAGACATTTTTTGTAGCCAATAAAATTCTCCACAAAAAAGGTTGGGGGACATTTTGTCGTAACTCCACTTGTTCATGAGATAATGTTAAAATTCATATTCTCACCTCTTGTATAACTCCCTGACCATCAGAGTTGGCAGACTGTTGGCAATCAGTCGTAAAGTGCAGCAGCTGTTGCTCACCAAGTCCAATGTTTCCGTGCTGTGGTGTTCCCTGTCCCTGTGGCTGATGTGGTCCAGAAAAACTGTAATAAATAGGATCCAACCCCTGGTGATTGGATCCTGGACCACTGGGAATAGTCTGATGGTGGTGATGATGACCGGGTGGACCACCTGGTGGCCCTGAACCCGGATAAAAGTGATGATTAGCTTGGGGACTCGTTGCACCAGTCACTGGTGTATTTTGTGCACTCGTACCAACACTCGTTCCATTAGCTGTTCCACTGCTTGTTGTGTATATATAAGGTGGTGCACCAGCTGCTCCAGTGTAATACGACTCATACTGATTGAAAAAAAGAACAATTAACATGAGTTCAAACGATTTTTCTCCAATTTTTCCGCCAGTGAAATGAGAATTTTTAATTCTTTTTCAATGACTTTTTTTGTAGCAAAAAAACATTTTTTACACAAAAAAATCATTCTATGATTTTCATTCCACAAAATGTGCAGGAGATAACTTGAAAATAAATTAGCAAACCTCTCAAAGCCCACAAATAAATTAAATCAAACATTAAATCCAAGAAACAACAGTTCTTCATGCACAATTTGTCATTTTGTTCAAAAAATGTTATTTATTTATTAAATAAAAATAATAAGCGTGCTGAAATCGTTCACATTGCATGCTCAAGTCACACAGAACAACTGAATAATCTCACAATTTCAATTGAGTTTTAGGATTGATTATTGAAATTTAAAAAAAAATGATTTTTCATCTTTTCGTTACGTTTTTTTTCTTCTTGTTTTTAGATTGTACCTTTAAACCTCAATACTGTATTGCGTCGAGAAGTACATAAGTAGGCATTTGTTGTGGATTTGGAAGGAAGGCCGGCGGTATCGCTTCTCCCATCAGACCGTTTGTCTGTCCAAATCATTCAATTTCAATTTTTTTCTTAAACATCTTTACTCCCTCGTGGGGTTTAGTTTAATGAGTGATTTTTTTGTTAATTTTCTAGTGTGATTATCTATGTCTCTAGAATCTAGTGATGATGTGTGGGTACAAAGGGTAATTACGAACCAGTTATAAACAACACACCTTCACCAACGTAAATAAATTATTAAATTAGAGTTTAAAAACATCCAAGTACATTTTAATCATTATATTTGTTGATTTAAGGCCCGGGTGGATTATCTTTTGAACGTGATCTTGATTGATTTTCTTATTTTGATAGTCTGAAATGAACTCCAATTGCTATTCAGTTTTACATAGCCCTGGAGTCTCGAAAAATTATGATTGTACAATCAAAAAAACGTTGAAAAAGGGCTGAACATTTTCGAAGCGAGATTTGAATAATATTGGGAAATAAACCCAATAGGGAGGAAATTGCAAATGAATAATTTGATGTATCTAATGGCTGTTAAGTCGTCATTTTTCACAGCAGTCAATGGCTGTCAGATCGTTAGTTACCATGATAAATTATCCATTCACTATTTCCTCTCTGTCGGACTGACTTCTTAATCTTTATTAAAAACGCTCATTGAAAATGTTCAGTTTTTTTCTACGCTTTTTGATTGTACAATTATAATTTTTAGGGACTCCTACGTGATGTAAAATCCAATGGAAATTGTGATATATTTTACATTATGAAGATGGCAAAACAATTGAAATAACGTTCGAAAGATTATCCACCCGGGCCTTAACTACTTCCGTCGAGAATTTTCTAAACATTTCCATGATGAAAAAAACATGATTTGAGTGATTTTTCAATTATATCATGAGTTTTATTCAAGAAATCGACTTTTTATTTTCTTAAATTTTTTTGAATTTCTCCCGATTACTCAACGTTTTAATAAAATCATTTTCGTCAACAATTTTTATTTTTAAAAGAGTTTCAACGAAAAAAAAATGGTTCAAGTACTTGGATATCCTTAAATTTGCAGAAAAGTGGAATAAGACTGATTTTGTCGACTGGACTCCATCGATTCTTAATAAATAATTGATAAACAATGCATTTACCATAATCAAAATTCTTATCATTAAAAATCTCAAATTATCCATTGATCAGATCTTTTATTCCACTTGACTATTTTTTTTTTGTCAACGTGCTGGTTAGTATGAAATTGAACTGGATAGGTGAAATCACGAATTTATTTAACTTGTTAGTCCTCGTTAAAGTCCTACATTGTTTACGAAAAAATCGAAGATAATTTCATCAGAAAATTCATTTCGATTTTTTCAATAATTTACGAAATTCATAAATAATTGCTTTTGAGGCACTTACGGGCATTGGAGAATACTGATACTGATGTGGCATGTACAGGGATGGTGCTGGACACGGGTAAATCATTGGCGCGAATGTCTGGTGTGCAGAAGCTGCCTGAGGGCCTGAAAGCAAAATTCAAGAAATTAAAACACAAATTTATGGACAAAAATGAAATTGTGCAAGTTTATGTCGCAAATATCTCAGAAACCAGTGGGTGTACAGAAAAATATCACAAAACCTTTTTTCTAGAGAATTTCGTAAGCTACAAAAATGATTTAGACATTTTTTCCTCTAAACCCAATAGTTGAAGGGATATTCGCAGTTTTAGAAACCTCTCCTCCGCAAAATTGATTTGAATGATTTTTTCTGTTTACCAAATACTCCAGCCGCTTGGTACAGAGCTGCTGGGTCTGTTGGTGGGGCCAGGGGTGTTCCTGGAGCGGGGGCACCTGCATTGTAGAACGTCAATCCATTTTGATAAGGTAATCCCATTCCTGCAATTAAAAATGAAAACAAATCACTGAAATTCTCTTGTTTTATCATTTCACTACAGAATTACGTCGACGGTAACTCGTAAACTAGTGCATGTAGAGAGAAATGTCAGATGACATCTTTTGTAGATAAATTCATAAGCTACAAAAGAGATCTTAACACTTTTTTCCCTAAACCCAACAATTTCTAAGGAAATTGGGATTTTCTCACTTCACTTTTTTTCTTCTCCTCTTTTTTTCATGTTTTCATTCATCGGAATGTTTTGAATGTTCAATTAGGCAATTTTCCATGTTAACAACGATTAAAATGATTTACCATTAGCATAATAATATGGGCTTGTAGGCACAGCAGGTGGAGAGCCAGAGCCGCCGTCGAAGGACCGATTGAAAGGTTGTTTTTTAATAGCCGGTGCAATATTTAATTTTCTCTCTCGAAGAATAATTCCCTCGGAATCCTGTTGGAGGCGTTTAGCCTCCTCCTCAGTCTCGAATGTGACGAATCCATACCCCTTGGAGACTCCCGCACGATCAAGAATAATTTTCGTTGCTTTGACATTTCCATAAGCTGAGAACAACTGCGCCAATTCTGCTTCACTTGTGTTCGCCGATATTCCACCCACAAATATACGATTTGGCACTAGTGTACCGTATTTCGGTGCTGCCATGGCTTGACTAGCAGCTGATGCTGGGCTCGATGCAGGACTTGATCCCTCAGTACCACCAGTTGATGCTGAACTCTTTGTTTTAACAAAAAATCATTTTTATTGGTGAAAATTGTGTTTCATTTTTTTTTTATTATTGATGGTGTTTTTTTTACTCAATTTATGTCTGGGATCATGCGGCTTTGAAGGAAGTGATATGAGAGATTTTTTGAAGGATTTTAAAAGCTACAAGAAATGTCTCAAGATTTTTCTTGTTAAATCTAGCAGTTTTAGAGATTTTTAGAAAAATAAGGAAGTGTTTTTCGTTAAAATTGAGTTTGTTGCAATCAGTTCAGTTTTCCATTGCAGACTATCTTGCAAATATCTTCGAAATTAAATGATTTAGAGAAAAAAAAATAATAATCTGGCAGGCTGAAGGCCCCTGGGGCGATTGCCAGTCGCAAGTTTCTTGCGACGAATTCCGTTAAAAATAAAAAAATATGTATAATCAGGCATTTCCTCAAAAAAATGTGGTAAGCTACGAAAAAGCTTTGAGCCCATTTTTTCTCAAAATCTAACGGACGAAATGATGCGATTTTAATGAATCGAAGCTCATTTCCAAGGCTGGAAACATAGCTTCAAAACGAAAAAAAAGTTTGGAAATTTCACTCTCCCGATCGTGAGTTAATAACCATTAATGAAGGTCCCTTTTCGCTCCTAGGATTTTTCAGAGTTTTGAAGACGTTTTTCGCTCAATCTAGTAGCTTAGAGATTTGTAGAAAAATAAGGAAGTGTTTTTTGTTAAAATTGGGATTGTTTCAATCAGTTCAGTTGTGCATTGTAGACTATCGTGCAAATATCTTCGAAATTAAATGATTTAGAGAAAAATATCATTAGACATTTCCTCAAAAAAAATCACAAGCTACGAAAAAGCACTGAACCCTTTTTTTCAAAATCTAATGGTTTCCAAAATACTTACGAAATTGAAATAAAGAATGGTTTCTAAATTGCCAGCAGGAGTTGAATCGATTGTTCGGACTCTATATTCATTTCCAAATCAATCAAAAAAATAATGTCACGAGGTTGGGAATGAAAGCAGGGCAGATAGATGACGTAATATTTTACTTTTAACGATAATAAATAAAATTCATGGATCCACTTTCCCACGAGTCAGAGTCCATCGACGACTGACAACTTTATTGTGATAGACCCACAACTCGTCGCGAGTCAAAACAAGAAACTAATGTTACCAGTTAGTTCCTAATTCAAAACAAATCCAGTCATCGTAGTGTTGAAAATTATCTTGCAATTTTTTTTCTTTTTCTGATTCAGCATCAAAACACATTAATTTATAATAATTGGAATATATTAATACAGATTGATTAGAGATCAATATTTTATCGAGAGATCTGTTAATTACAATTTTGTTTTTTTAAAAATAAATTACTGAAGAAAATGAATAAATAAAAGCGTTATCATTCGACTTTCAGCTTATGATTTACTGTTGAAATCTATTTTCTAATCGTCCTGACAATCTCGAGGAGGATCCTACAGGAAAATGTCAATAGCAATTTAATAGACTACAAAAAAAGATGAATAAAAAATTCTTTTTCTGCGAAAAATTCCAGAAAACGAAGAAAAAAAAGAAAACCTATTTTTTTTCGTTTTCTTATTCAGTATCAAACCTCATTAATTTAATTTGAATATGATAATATGGACTGATTGGAGATCAATATTTCGTCGAGAGATCTGTCAATTACAATTCAATTGTTCTTTTTTTAAATAAGTGATGAATAAAATGAATAACTAAGTTTTATTTATTTGATGCTGACGTGGATTTTCCAATTGTTCTAACTATCTCGAGGAAGATCCTACAGGGAAATGTCCATAGCAATGTAATAGACTACAAAAAAAGATGAATAAAAAATTCTTTTTCTGCGAAAAATTCCAGAAAACTAAGAAAAAAAAGAAAACCATTTTTTTTTTCGTTTTCTTATTCAGTATCAAACCTCATTAATTTAATTGGAATATGATATTGACTGATTAGAGATCAATATTTCAGCGAGAAATCTGTCGATTACAATTTAATTGTTCTTTTTTTAAATAAATGAATGAATAAAATGAATAAATAAAAACGTTATCATTCGACTTTTATATTCCAATTTGATGTTGAAGTGGATTTTCTAATTGTTCTAACTACCTCGAGGAAGATACTACAGGAAAATGTCAATAGCAATTTAATTAACTACAAAAAAAGATGAATAAAGGATTTTTTTTCTGCGAAAAAATCCGGAAAACGAAGAAAAAAAAATGAAGAAAATCTAATTCTTTTTTCTTTCTCTTCTTCAGTATCAAAACTCATTAATTTAATTTGAATATACTAATATGGACTGATTAGAGATTAATATTTCGTCGAGAGATTTGTCAATTACAATTCAATTGTTCTTTTTTTTTTAATAAGTGATGAATAAAATGAATGACTAAAAGTGTTATCATTAGATTTTTATATGACCATTTGATGCTGAAGTGGATTTTCTAATTGTCCCTACTATTTCGAGGAGGAAAAAGATGAATAAAAAATTATTTTTCTGCGAAAAATTCTAGAAAACAAAGGAAAAAAAAGAAATTCCTTTTTTTTTTGTTTTTCTTATTCAGTATCAAACCTCATTAATTTAATTTGAATATGGACTGATTAGAGATCAATATTTCGTCGAGAGATCTGCCAATTAGAATTCAATTGTTCTTTTTTTTTAATAAGTAATGAATAAAATGAATAACTGAAAGTGTTATCATTCGACTTTTATATTACGATTTAATGTTGAAGAGGATTTTGTAATCTCTGTGAATATCTCTATGAGGATGGATCCTGTAGGAGAGTGTCAATAGCAATTTAATGGACTACAGAAAAGTCTCAAGTCATTTGACCCTAAAACCCCCGGCTCTCCAGATAAATTCTAAAATATGAAAATGAGTTCAGTAGTGAAGTGGAAAAACGGTATAAGTCAATTTTGACTATTGGCCAGTTGTCAATGAATATCTCCGAAGCTAAGGGAGGTAACAAAATTTTTATTATAACCTTTTTCGTAGACCCGATGGAGAGCTACAACAAATGTAATTACGAAAATTTCGCTATCTTCCTTAGATTCAGAAATATTCCTCAAAAACTCAACTGGGAGATGAGCTGACTTAAACCCTTTTACCGCTTCTCTACTGAGTTGTTTTCACTCATCGATAATTCACGATTGGCTGAGTGAAATTTAATAATTTTTTTTTCATTTTAAAGGTTTTTTCTCAGGCTTCAAAATGAGACATGACTCGTTGAAATCGGTTCATCGGGTCTGGAGAAATTGTGGATTTAAAAGCCTCAATTACCCCCCCCCCC